ACCCACGTAATGTGGAAATGTGGATGTAGCCTACTGAGGAAACTACTATTCGGAAACAAAACTAATATTTTGCAATCCAACGACGAACGTTGCAAAAAATATTCAGGTAAGTTTCTAATTACCGTCATCCATGAACGAGGAATTTCATGATAAATAATACTAAAAATGTTTCTTTTCAGTGAGTTTGTGTGTAAAGAATAATGTATTACTTAAATTTGCTTTCATCAGTTGAGCAAGTATTTAGATGGATCAAATGGAATCATGCATGTTTTGTATATTCATTCAGCTGTGAAGAATTTTAGCTAAGGCGTGAGGTGCCAAAACTGCTCATGTATTGTAGATGATTTTGGATCAAAAGTTTACTCAATCAATAATGATTCTGAAATTGCTATAAGAATAAGATAAATGAATGGTTTGAAGCTATTAGATGGACATTGGACCTTAGCCACTCAGGAAGGATAATTATTATGTTCAGACCATTCAACCCAGATAGCTTCCTGATGCTTCCAGGCAAATCCAGGACATAAAAATTCGCCATTTCTTGAAAAAAGTTCTCAAATCTGAATTTGCAAGCTATAAGATCTGAATAAGACATATTTCAATCATTTCACACTACTTCATGTATGGTTTATCAACCTTCCATAGTAGACTCCTCCCAACCTTTTTCCTTTGATACGCCTATGTTCCTCGGATTCATGAGTGATGAGTGTAACATGACAGATCCCAAATGCGCATGAATCAGTTTCACCAGTTTAATCTCCTGAGTAGCTCACCTTTTTCCTTATAGAATTGGCGGTCTAGATTACTCTATAAGTCGGTAGTATCGACTCTTGAGCTTGAGAACCCTAAGGTGAATATTTTTTCAAGCGATTCGGAGAATTAATCATCCGTTACCTTGCAGACGCCATCTTGAATTTTGAAATTGATTCAAAATTAATGCAGATTAATTCTGGAATCGTTTACTAGAGCGTCCGCCACCATGCAGAATGTCTGAATTTGGACTCAAAATTCGAAATTTCCGACCTCCAAAACCCCTACTTGTACATTTTCAGGCAAACCAAAGAATATATATAACAAAATCGCTCGCCACCTCGCTCGCCCACTGCAAAATCTACCTTGAATTTTCAAGTTTAGGCTTTAGTTTGTGATAATTGTCGACTTTGAATTACGAGACGTAGAAACTACCGGACTGTCAGCGGACTACCACCGGACTGCCCGCACAACAACGGTTAGGGTTTTTGAATGTTTAGATTTATTAAGTTTCATACCTTGCATTGTGACAAGAGCACCATAGTCGTCCCGCGCTTTTCCATTCAAAACTGTTTGAATTTGACAATACATTTTATAAACGTCAGAATTGAAAAAAAAATTTCATAATCATACATTCGAGATAAAAGAACACTTCACTTGCTGTGTAATAAATTGTGCCAATTCTGAAAAAAATGGATATCATTTATTCAATTTTCCGAAACAAATATCAACCATTCGCTTATGGAAGGAAGATATGATGGGTGCAAAATCAATTTGAAAACGAGCGAAATTTGTAAGGTAGGTACTTATTAAAATTCACTTCTTATAACAGCATCTGATTAGAATGAATCTATATATTAGGCCCATTTTGAAACAGAAGATTTCAAAATCTGTTTGAGAGAATCTGCTGTTCCATCAATTTACAAAGCAGACGATTTCAAGAACAAAATTCCATTATTATCATCACGTGAAATACATAACAAAATAATCATGGAAGAAGGAGAAATGCTCGCAAAATCACCTCATGAAATTGAAAATTTCAAAACGAAACTAAGAAAAGCAAGTAAACTACAACGTGATATATTATTGAATGGCGTTTTTGGTGCTGACCGCGAATTCAAAATTCGACAGTGAAAAGTGAATAGTTATTTATGTATCAAGGGAATCATTATAAGGGCCTAAATTACGCTGGAGGTTATCGTTTTGGAGATATTTTCTATATCGATCCATGTTCCTTAGCTCCTAGGGCGCTAAAAGTGAAGTTGCTGAGAACTTTACAAAACCAAGTATTTGGTAGGTCTCTTCAAAATAAACTACTTTTTTCCTATGAAATGTTTATCGAAAAATTATTTGTTTTCTGTATTTCAATAACCCTTTATCTCCAAAATGAAGCATTTCCGGACACAAGCTTGTATATAGACTTTATTTCTTATAATTGTCTCAGGAATACTTCACTCGAAAGTACTTATGTTACTTCCTGTATATTGAGAATACCTACCTTTGATTTGATATAAATAACTTCATGTTTTTTACTTATCACTGGAGTACAGTTTCACATTCAATAAGGAATAATTATAGTTATAAGTTTATCCATATGTGTATATTTTCTAATATTAAAATGTTGTTACATGCATTCTTTTCATTTGTATAACAGTTGTTCTGCTAGAAGTGTATCACATAAATTGAAGTGGGTATTTGTACCCTATACCCATTGTCCATCTCCGGCTATGATTGATTTGACAGAAAATATAACCTCTAAAATCGTATCTGACAATCAGGCGCTACTAGGGAAATTGAAAAGACAAAGAGCAGAATATATGTCTTATTCTTTTATTCACTTAAACCATTGTATTATAGAAAATAGAAAAGGACAAAAGTTCAGCTGTGTCCGAACTCTTATCAAACTAATACCATCCAGTGACTCTAATTCGCGATAGAAAATAAGCGTACGCTATACCTATCGGAGTTCTTGAAAGCTGTCAAAGTGGCATGTTTACTTTGTTTTCATTGGTTCACTTTTTTTTTGGGCTTATTGGTCATATCAACAAAACAAACCGCTCAGAAGTGTTCAAGTTGCTGCCGTCAGGTGGGGCGACGTGTTATTTTCTATGGCGAATACTATCACATGTATTACATGCCATTACACTTGTATTGCAAAAGTATTACATGACTATTCAATGTATTGCATGGGTAGGTATTACAACAATATGTAATAATAATAATTTGTCTTTATTTGTCCTCAGAAAAACAAACAAAATACAGAGGGCAAATGGGCGGAAGTCTAGTCATGACCAGACGAATCTAGTCAACAATTAATGTTGCTTGCCAAATTAACCTCGGTTTTGGGGGTCACAGAATATGATTCATTAGTCAAAATTTGAAAATTCAAGATGGTGGATCTAAAATGACGGACGAGTCTTGTAATTATGTTCCGATTCAATCGGGGATTCAATACAAAATTGACATTTGGGGGTATTTTGGGGTCGGAGATGATGATTCTTTCCTGAAAATTTGAAAATTCAAATGGCGGATCCAATAGGGCTAAAGAGTTTTTTGTTCAGTTATTTATTTATTTATGCCTCTTATATCTGTTCAAAATTGGATACCAGAGGTTTTCCGGTTCAGAGATTATGATTCTTCTGTCAAATTTTGGATATAGGGAACGATTTTATTATTTATTATCCAATTCTATTCAAAATTGGTATCTGGGGGTTTTTGAGGTCGAAGATTATGATTCTTTTGTTAAAGTTAAAATTAGGGAATTCAAGATGGTGGATCCATCATAGCTAACAAGCTTTGTAATTATGATCCGATTCTATTCAAAATTGGAGTCTTGGGATTTTTGGGGTTAGAAAACATGGTTCTTTCGGCGAAATTGAGGAATTCAAGATGGCGGATCCAATATAGTGGACGAGCTTTGTAATTATAATCCTATTCTATTAAAAATTGGTATCTGGAAAAATTCTGGGTAAGAAATGATGATTCTTTTATCAAAATTAAATTCAAAATACTGAATATGATAATTGAAGGGGCAAGTGTTCGGGCAAGTGGAAGAAGGAGTTATGTTACAAATATGAGTTTGTGAGAAAAATAGGTTTTAGCAAAGTTAGCTGGCATTCATTTTTTAAGGGAAGCTAGTTCAATTATTGGATTTATGCAATTGTGAGGAAGTTTCAAGTTGATTTTTTATGATTTAAAGCATTTTGCTACCATATCATTTTTTGATAGACATATAGATTTTTGCATACATAACCCTTTCTTCCATTTCCTGACATGTAGGCAATTGGCACATGGCCCCTTCTACCACTGTGTATCTGCTCAGATATGCAGAATAGAAACAAATCCTGACAGGAAAAGTTCCATATGCACATAACACCTTCTTCCATGACAACCAAATATTTTTAGAAAATGTTACTTGGCCCCTTCTTCCACTTGCCCCTTCAATTATGATAGGATTCTATTCAAAATTTGTATTTGGGGGTTTTAGGGTTGGAAATTATAATTACTCTGTTCAATGTTCAAATTAGAGAATTCAAGCAGGTGGATTCAACATGGTGAATGAGTTTTGTAATAAATAGTGTATTGATAAACTGATGAAACATGATTTTATAGATAGCCAAACTGAAAGGAAGTTGAAAATAAATAGTAGTTTGGGAAACTAAAGAGATAGATTTCTGAACTGAAAACAAGTAGAAAATGAATAATAGTTTGAAAAACCCAGAAAACATGCTTTAAGGTTAGTCAAAGAAGAGAACTAAAAAAGTTTGTTGAATATACTTAGATTTAGTTTCTAGTTGTAAGAAAGAGAAATCCTGTAATTAGGGCCTTACGAGGGGCCTTATGGCCCTGTTTGTATTTCTTCTACAATAAATAAATAAATAAATAAATAAATAAATATTGAATATCTAACTGAAACAATATTTTCAAGAAATAATAATGTATATAGCAAAACAATATTTGCTGGATCAGCTTGTCTGATAATAAAAACAGTTGTACAAAGTGGTAGGAGGAGTGGTACCAACAAAAAAAACATATATTTATGTAATTGATATCTTATTATGTATGATGAGAACTCTGATAAGAAACAGGAATACCCTGCCAAATACTTACCCCTCAACCTACCCCTAATGATTTTGAACTATGTGCACATGCACCATGTGCAGGAAATTTTTGTACCATTGGACAATAACAAATTTTCTCACAAATTTCCAATTTAAAATTCATAACCAGTAATCTATGTAGACACTTACCTGTAATACTGCTTGGCACTTTTGGGCCTCATCAGCTAAGACATGGATGACACTGTAAGGCCCCCCTCTAGCTCCAAATAGGTCAAGTTCATTCATAGCTTCCAGAGCAGCTTTGGCCATTCCAATAGAACTAGCATTCAGCTCAGGCAATCCATGGTTAGTTTTGTCACCTCTTTCCCATATGCCATAATCAGGAGTACAATAGGCACATTCTATATAAAATACCAGATTCTGGACAAATGCTACTTCATCTAAGTTGAAAACAATCTGCAAACCAGAAGCAGTCATCTGAGCAAGCACAAGCAAATATAAGGATATAGCATCTATTTGTAGATGACCCCATTCTTTGTCTCCAACTACGATTTGCCCAGTTTTTGAAGAGTATTTAGCATGTAGTGAATCTAGAGGGTTTTGAGTTTGCTTAAATCGCTCGACCTTGTCTTTTTGTTGCATCATAGACATGAGCAAACCTCTCATCAACTTGACACAGGACTGTTCTAGCTCATAGGTTTTCGCTCTGTCTTCATCTTGATCAGCCATTTTTTTATAGGACATGGACAAGCCCCACACAGACAGAATACAGTAAACGTTGTCTCGAATCCAAGCGTGATTGTTTTCCAAACTGACGGGAATCAATCCAGTAACTGGGTTCTGATGTTCCATTATGATTTTGTGTACCAATCTTTGATAGTAGTCCAAGCGAACTCCAGAATTACTTCTACTCCTCATGTTTTGAAATTTGTTGAAATTACGGTTTGCAAACAATCTTATATCATAGCAATACTAGTGAGATAATATTTTCATTTATTTATATATTCATAAAAAATATCAACAAACAAAAATTACGTAACCCACAATCATAACCGCCAAGAGTCTTCTTCTAATTCCTCATTTCTTAATTCTTCTTCTCCTTAAATATTAAAAATATATATCAACAAAGAAAAATTACATAACCGTTAGGAATCCTCTTCTCATGACAACACCATAAACATTTGACATTAATGACCAGGAACTGTTCCTGACCGAAAATATATAATACTAGATCACACTTCGAAAAAGTACTAGAACTAGGAATTCAGTACTGAATTCCAATTTCCTTCAAATTTGTCGCTCTTGAGGTGCTTGCATAGTTCATTGTTTCAATTCATAAATTCAAGCCGTCAAAAACCAAATGTGAATGGAAAAATTCCACCCCAGTTCAGCTGAGGTTGAAAGAGAAAAAAATGTCTCCTAACTGTCCTTGTCTTCAGTGTTCCAACATAGATTAATAAAAATGTTATGTTGGCAACACTGGAGATAGGAAGAAACGAAAAAGTAAAACAATGACCACGTTCCCGGAAGGTGTACTTGCGTATATGTAATATTCTCTCAACTGTGCTCGCAAAGTCAATTCTTCTTTGAGAAATTCAGAATATTAATAATCTCATTGTTGTATGTTCACGTGCTTTTTTTATTTATATTGAGTTCATTGTGTCCGTGAATGAAGAATTGAACATGAAATTCGCAAGTACACCTCTATGAAAGGTCATCCGGGAACGTAGTCATTGTTTTTTTCTTCAAGCTTGACTTGTTATCGATTTTTTTGTCAATATTTTGTGAGGAATGAACATACACCTCTATGAGTAGGTCATCCAAGAACGTTGTCATTGTTTTTTTTACTCTTGAGGAGACATGTGCAAAAGAGGGAGTCGTGTTGTATGTTTCAATTGTGAATATCTTCAAAATGACAGAAATATATCAAACGCATGAGAAAAATAAACTGGAACAATTCATTTACACTTGGTGGCCAAAGTGAAACCTCATTTAGTACTAGATTTCATAAAAAAGTACTTTGGCAGTGAAGACCAATGACGGCTAAATATCTGGACTGTCTTGTTCATTCAGCGAAAATCGCCAAATCACCCTGTAATGAAATTTCGAAGGGATGGCAAGTGGCGTCATCTATTTCCTGTGTCAAACGGTGTCAAATGAGCTATTCAACATAACCTGCAAATTTTCTCACTGTCAGCAGTGTCAGCCTGTCACTCATTGTCATTCGAGATTGGAGAGCTTTGTTCGAAATACCAAGTAAAAATGTGAAAAGGCCAATAAAATGAAGTGGTTAGGAGTGTTCATGCCAAATAAATAAAATATTTAGCCGTCATTGGTGAAGACATTTAGATAGTGTTAAATCCAGTACTGGAACAGCACTGTGACACTGTCATAAGTCATAAGTGTCATAACCTTCTAGTGTATTTTTTGAGGTTAGGTTACATGAAGTTTGTTTACATTTTCGAAAACTGTCTCAGATAGTTTGTATTTTGTATTATTCTATTCATTTATAGGGGCTAAGAAGGTGTCTTGTCTGAGCTGGTAGCTAACATTAATCAGGCCACACTCGATTATTCACAATGTCTGAACGAAAAGTGTTGAATGTAAGTTGAAAACCCATTATTTTTCTGTACATACCATATTAATTCCTCTATTCTATTTCAGAAATACTATCCACCTGATTTCGATCCATCAAAAATCCCTCGTATGAAATTGCCTAAAAATAGACAATACACAGTACGATTGATGGCCCCCTTCAATATGAGGTGTGCTACTTGTGGGGAGTACATTTATAAAGGGAAAAAATTCAATGCAAGAAAGGAAGATGTAGAAAATGAGGATTACTTGGGTATCAGGATATATAGATTTTATATTAAGGTAATGTACCAATATTGAAGTAACACAACATCAGATTCATCATTATTATTTCTTTCAAAAATGGGATTCTGAAAGTATCATAATTTTTTAGTGTACAAGGTGCTTGCAAGAAATATCCTTCAAAACTGACCCTAAAAACACAGACTATGAAATTGAAGCAGGAGCTACCAGAAACTTCATGGCCCTGAAGCTAGCTGAAGAGCAGGCACAGAGAGAGGAAGAGGAAGCTAAAGAAGAAGAGGCAAGCAATCCCATGAAGTTATTGGAAAACCGCACCAAGCAGTCCAAGAATGAGATTGAGCTGCTGGAATCTCTGGAGGAATTGAAGGATTTGAACAGAAGACAGCAAGTGGTTGATTATGAGACCATGTTGATGGCTTATGATGATAGTATTTCTGAGCGTGAGAGGGAGGAAAAGCTACAGCAGCTTGATGAGGAATACATCAAGTAAGTCTAGTCTCCTTTGATTCATTGTTCACTCCCATTTATGTGTTTCCATATTCACCATTTCTGAGATGAGCATTCAGTCCACATCTGCAATTTTAATTCAATTAAATGTACATTTCGATTCCTGAATCCTACCCTTTTCAATCTGGAAAAAATTCAAATAATGATGACATTTGCTATGGATGCATTTTTGGAAAAATCAGAAGGATTCTAGCTATGGAGGTTGATAGGAATCTGTATCCTCTCATCACATTAAACTATATTGACAACAGGGTTATTATACATCATAATAAATTTGTATGAGCAAAAATATTATCAATGAATGTAACAGGTCAAGTCTTTTTGCATTAATATTTTCACATTTTCCAATAAAATATTGTCCTGTGAATCCTGAAAATGAACCATATCATCTCTAATATCATGATAACTCAAGTTATTTTCACCCAAAAAACATTTATGTTTAGTTAACTGATTAACCTCTATTTTACATGTATTTCCAAGAATAGTGAAATTCATTATATATTTGTAAACCATAAACTGTTGATAAGGAGGAATTACTGACATAAGGTTTTATGGGTAGGAAGAATAAGGATATTGTCAGAGATTTGAATTCTTTCTCCTATCTGGCTCCCCTACTGGCTACCTAGACACTACATTTTCCTTTTCTTTTTTTATGTTTTCATTCATTAGCTGTGTCAAGAGCAGGATGAACAGAAGAAACTCCTATCAAATCCCATCTACTGTTTTTCTGTCAAAGTTCTTGACTTAAGGCCTACTTGACAGAAGGATTCTTTTCAAAATCGCGGAATATAGGTCGCATTTTACCCGATAGATGGCAAAATCTCAACCTAAATTCAAGGTTGGTAGAACTGATGATAATTAAAATTCCCGAAAATTACAGTTTCATACTTTGAAATTCTGGTGCAAGCGGTGTGTAAGCGCCGTTTTCTGTCATGAACGAAATCTGTTAAAAGTTTTGCCATCTTGTGGACAACTGAGAACTAATATGCCATTATCTGGTCAAGTGTTTTGGGAGAATCACCTTGGTCAAGAGGTTAAAATACTAAAATAGTGTGAAGAGGATGTTTGTTTGTCTTCTTCTTTCAATTATATCTCCTCTACTTCCTATTATTTTCCAAAGAGCAGGAAGACAAGAATCACAAAGTGAAAATGGCCATGAAGTTTTTCTCGTTCCTATCACCCTTTAGAAAATCTGAAAATTCATATCTTTTATAGATCTGTGAAATTCGAGTCCACAAGGAAACGGAAATTAGTTGTGGAAGAAGAAATTATAGAGGAAGCAACTGACCATAAATCAGATAGTCCCACTGAAGAAATTACACCTTCGGACGCGTCTGCAAGTAGCAGTCAAACAAACTCAAAAAGTGATAAGAGTAATACAGTTTTTGGAAGTGTCAGTTGGACTAAGGACAAAAATCCGACAAAAATCGAACCAAAGAGAAATAAAACGTTAACGGGACTTGTGAAAGTGAAAACAGATAAGAAGATGGAACAAATTGCACAATCAGGAGAGGGCAAAAGTAATGAGGCGAAAAGTAATAATTCCTTGAATGATGAAATAAAAAATATACCTAAGCCAGCTGCCAGCGGTCTTCTATTGTTAGGGTCTTATTCAGATAGCGATGAAGATAATGTTGCTTAGTGACCATGTTCTTATTTATAATTGTTCATATTAATTGAAACCAATCTTTCTATTATACCTTGACAGATTACTATGCAACCAAGAATACAGTAGTATCTCTTTTACGTGGGTGGAAAAGAGACACAGCATCAAAAACGGTCAGATTTGGTGAAGACTCCTTATCTTCACTTTCCAAAATACAAAAAAATATATAATGTATTTTTGATATATAGAAGGCTATATATCAAAGGGTTTCAAACCACACTTTCAAACAATTTCATAACACTTGAAGGTTTTGAGTCCTTAGAAATACTCAAGTGTTTTATGGACAAAGCTCCTATAGTCCATAACAATAAGAAGAAGAAACTCAAACAGAAGTCGGATGGCCGAGGGTAACTGTAACTGGAGGCGTGAGGCAATCTAAGTTAAAGAGAAGAAGTGGCTAAAGTCATTGTTGAAAAACTTGTTGACTTTGAAATCGATTTTCCATTTCAAATGGTGTTTTATCACTATTAATGTAGTTGGTTGGTCACGTGTGGGTCAAAACTCCAATAAGTTTTCTTGAAAAAAAAATCGCTATGATTCAGACATCATTATTCAGACTATGAGAAAATTAATGATAATAATAGGTAGGTAGGACTTGTTTTTTATTGGTTAAACCAAAAATGGCCATCAACCGAAGTCCTCTAGCCAGTAAAAAAATGATTCATTTCTCCTAAGACTGTTTAGTCAAAATCCAGCTAACAACGAATATTCTTCATAAAAAATGTGAATATCAACTCAGGAACACAGTCTGAAAAGTCGAAAACTGTTTCTATTGACCATTTTGACTTCATCCTACGGTATGTCAATAAATATCAATGTTTCAAGCTCCTAGAGCCCTTAATTATTTAGATGTATATATTATTCGCGATAGAAAATAACACGTCACCTCACCTGACGGCAACATTTGAACACTTCTGTGCGCTTTGTTTATGCATGGTTTATGCCAATAAGCAGAAACAAACAACAAATGTGAACCAAAGAAAACAAAGTAAACAGGCGGGCTTTGACAGCTTCCAAATACTCCGATATATATGGCGTACGCTTATTTTCTATCGCGAATTACAGATCAAATTATTCCATTCATGTGTGTCATGAGTGGGATGAGACGTTCTTGTTTTGAACAAAATGTACCTATTTCCCTATTATTTATCCCCTACCTACTAATATTTTTTCGAACATGTTATAATATATCCCAATGAATAAAAATAAAACAACCTCTTAAACATCAACTGACATTTATAATTTCTCCCTTGATATTGCAATACCCACTAAAATTGAAAATACAATTCTTGGGACAAAATCTAGAAAAAATATGCAAAAATGATAAATTTGTTCGCTAGATATGGTGATTTTGATTTATCACATAAAAAACATAGTTCTCCTTTCGTGCGCTCGAAGTGATAAAAAAAATACCTGTTTTAATTTTCTGATATATTTCAAATATATATGTTCCTGTAATCAATTTCCCCCATTTTGTAAGGAGTGTTTGAGAGATTATTCCATTTTCCTTTTTTTTTTTTTTTTTTTTTTTTTTTTTTTTTTTTTATCGCTTGGAGCGCACGAAAGGGAATCCCTATAATGTTCAAAGAACATCGTGCGTTCCTTGGGAGGATAGGGACAGGAGGTAGGTATTGGAATTTTTTTTGAACTTTTGGAGATTATATGTTGTTGGGAATACTTCCACAGGCAATGAATTCCAGAGCCTAGCCGTTCTATGGATGAAGGAGTCTTATTTGTGTGAAGAGAGGTGTGAAGTAATTTTTCGACTTGTGAAAAAATGTCAAATTTAATATTTCCTATATACATATCTTACATATAGGTATACATCTTCGTGATGAATTTCATCAACTTGTGGAATAAATTTCCAGGGAAAACTTAATTTCCCTATATGTTCCTCTATGTTAAATGAAACAACAAGGGAATCATTTATTAATCGATAGATCCGGCGATTTGAAAGTTTTGAAAAAAAAAACATCAAGGCCACCCCCTTTTAGTTGAATTTCCTGGTGGAACATTTTCTGATTTCCGTCATATACCTTTGTTTTCTTTGTGAAAAATGAATGAGAACAGAACAAACTGCAGTGAAATCACACTATCCGTTCGCTAGATATGGCGATTTTGATTTATCGCATGAAAAAATAGTTTACCCTATTATATCATTCTTGATCATCCATTAGATTTTTTTCTCAAGGTTGTCTGAAAGTAGTTATACATAGTACACTGATGAACTAGGTATTTGAAAATGAGAATTCGAAAAAAATATATAAATCATCCTGTTTTTTCACGAAACAATTTCATCATAAGCCATACTGGTTGTAATTTACCTACTATTCACTCGACTGGGCTGTCGTATATGGCCGCAGACTTTTTGTTATCTGCCTTATAGTTACCGACCAAACGTGAAACTATGCGGTAAAGTCATGACCAAATAAACAATACAATGTGAGGCTACGGTGTGGTCCAACGACAAATGTAAAAGCTCATTTTATTGCCGGTGTATTCTTCGTCTCGTATTAGCAATCTTCACGACCGATTATTGGTTACGAAGTGCCAGAATTCAATGTTGACGCCAATGGGGATTCTCAAAATTTCGACACCCTAGTAGCACAGTCATAAAATTTCAATAAATTCAATTTATTATTTCCCCAGTATAGCGTAATCTTTGGTATAGCACAGAGCGCACCATCCGATATGGTGCCAGTGCCGGATTGAGCCAGCGCGGCGGGGGCCTGTATAGCAAATTCTATCAAGGGGTCCTTGGTTTGATTTAAGTTATTAAGTTTAGAGTGTTGAATAAAATGAAACGAAACTATTACAAATAAAGTTCTCTGGATATACCTACTTATATGGTCAAATTTAGAGATAACACTTTCAATATCGACTTCTTCAAGCAGATCATGCTCTATATATTTATCAAAGTGAGACGATTGAGACGTTCTTGGCCTATCATGTTCCTTAACTCATTTTCAATAAGTTTTAATATTAAAAAAATGTTCGCCACTACAGTTAGCAATTTCTATGTTTGGGAAACATGATTCTAAAGAACTATTCAATTAGAGTTTATAAAATTGTAGTTCCAGAGGCTCCTCCCAGCGAGCACAAATACATCTCAGAGATGTTAAAAGTACGCGAGATGTTGAGACATAGAACCTCCACTGCGATGTTCTGTTCATACAGGAATAGAACTTTCATAGAACAGCCAATGTCCGCCGCAGGCGGCGTTTATAAAGATATCCTTGGAATGTCACAAATATACATTTTCCCTGTTTTTTTTGGACTTTTTATGGACATAACATAACCTTTCCCAAGCGTTTTGCGCACATTCATTCGCTGCAAATAAAACATTCCTGGTGGATATCTATTTAAGAAGAAAAGAATAAAATTAAAAAAAAAGCTCTTCCCCGCTGGGGATTCGAAGTCACTCTATAGAGATTGAATTTTTACAATCCTAGCACCTTGTCCACTGAGCCATGGGAACCGTATTGATGAATGGTATGAATAGAAAGATGTCAACATGCACTTAGTAAGATAATAATTATTAGCATTGAGGCTGAGAATAAGGGTGAGTCAGAAGAAACATTATAAATATTGATACAAGAATAACATCCATATCATATTTTGATACGATTCTGTATGTCGAATTGTATGTTCATGGAATATTTGTTGCCAGGATGAACATATTATTCTGAGCAGAACAGAACACGTTGTCAGAATATTATTCGTAAAGTATATTCTGGTACTGTTTGGGATACTATTACGAATTATGGAGGTCGTTGGTATTATAACTAATACCTAATGGAATGAATAAAAAAGACACTGCAAATGTGAATGCGCAACTTTGCCCTAATTTAACCGACCTTCAACCTGAGATCCCCATGGTGGAGCTCGAAAAACGGGCACCCTGTATATGGTTGATGGTACTGCATGAAAAATACTTCACAATATTAATATAACAATATTTTACGAACTTAACATTCGAAAACTCGAAATTTTGCTAGATAAAACGTCATTTTTATCAACTGAGTTGAAATCATTCAGCAAGCAATTCATCTAAATTAATTTCCATCAATCTACATCTGCTTTGTTTTAAACCCGCGAAAATTTTGTAGTTCAAGCCGTATTTCGGTTCGAAAGTTTCGGAACGAAATAGCATATCGCCTAACTCAATAATACATTATACTTGTAAGTTTGACGATACCGCAGTTACCGAAGTTACCTGACATTTCTTTATAGTTCCATAGTATGGAAAAGATAGCATCTGGTGCTGAAATGATTCTTTACTACTTGCTGAATCATTCCAATACAGCTGATGATCGAAATGACATTATTTCACAGTCAGCAACATTCCTTCTATTAGACCTATTCAAATGAGAACTAATGTGGTGTGTCAGAAAAAATGCAATCACCTATTGACTGTTCTGAAATGCACTGGGGTTTGTTATGTCTTCCTGAAATTAATAATAAATAAAGTCCAGTGCGTTTCAGAGCACCATATCAGACGGTGCGCTCTCTGTGCTGTACCCCTCTTTTCTCCTTTCTAGCTATATTTCGGAAATTTGAAACATCGAATATGCTCACTAGAGGGCACTTTCTCACATTTCAAAAAAAAATTTCATCTTCCGGTTCTCCTCGAAATGACACCAACTTTCGATTTACAAATGGGACACCTTGAATTTTATTCCATAATCGGTTAGGAATAATTATAGCGAATTCAAGAATACCAGGTTTGATTATATATGACTTATGCTGATTCAAAAAATAATTTATTATCATTATTAATATTATTATGTGTTGAAACCGATAGTCCAAAATTCCTGTTCAACTACATATACTTCATATTTCCCTTTAATTAATCTCCAGAGAAACCATAGAATCCATTTGATTGATTGATTGATTGATTAATGGCAGAATGATCAGTCAGGGTTTGAAGCCCAAAACACTGCAGCCTTTGGGCCTATTGTATTCCTGATCATGCT